GGAAGAATTACCCCCTTACAGATAGCTAAAACATCAATGGTGTCAGTGGGAACTTATCTACGAGGCAGAAATTTCTCATTGCTCAAGGAACCCCTAGCAACCTCTGGAGGAACCCTACAGTTCCTGGATGAGAAACCCTGCCTTAGATTGTAAGCTCCTCAAGGGCAGGGACTGCTTTGAAGGTACAATATGTAAAGCATTGTGTAAAATTCTGGCATTTTATACATACCTATAATAAATAAATAAGTAGAGGCGGCGCAGGCAGCAGAAAACCTGAGTATTTATTGTCTTATTTGTTTGATGTGTCTGGTTTGGAAAAGGTTATGTCATGCAAGGGTGACTTTAAGAGGACAGAAGCTCTTTGGTATATACGGGTGTGCGCTGTGTAATCTGTTGTGGATGTCAGCAGCGACACATTATGATTCAAGCCTTCAGAGCCGCCTGGAAATAGAACCCGCACGGCATCAGCAAAGGCTTCATTTCCACGACACTCTCGTGCTATTAGCGGACGAGCTTCTGAGCGCTCTGAAAGCACATTTCAAAAATGGGACAGCGTAATGCAGAATAAATTACCCCGTGCTCGGCGGCAGCGCCGAGATTTTTCATTTGAATGATACTGACTGCAAATTGAACTGGAATTTCATCTTCCATCGGACGCTAACCGGATTTTCAGAGGGACCAGATATCAATATACTGTGACAAGAAGGCTGTGTTTCAAAATTGATGTCAATTACCAGTGGAACCCGAGACGGCCAGAAATATCACACATATTACTTCTGTCGACTGTGTTACTTTTCATGTTGCTAATAGTCCATGTGCAGGAAAATGATGGCGTGTCATGCCATTAAGGTTCCTTTCAACACTTTTGTTTTTTTTTAAATTTATTTAGCACAAATGAAAAATGCACATGCAACAAAAACAACACCAACGTCCTATTCACGTCAATGCAAGTGTTGAGTGACACTCTATAGTATTCCCCTTCACTCCTTTCCCTGGGTGCTGCAAAAAAGGTTATGCAGGTAGGGAGGAGCAGAGAAGCTGGGCCAGCACAGGCAGTAATTAGACACTCCCAGAAGAGGAAAAAGGCTATGACTTGCAAGGAGGGAGGGGGTTGTGCTAAGAAACTGACTCTGCTGAAGCAGTCATATTTACTAGCAAGTTTACAGCCACACAAACGTCAATAGAAAAAAAAAAAAAAAAAAAATCTTTATGGAAGGGAAAAACACTACATTTAAAATACGTGATATTTTTTATGCTTTTTCCTGCACATTTTTTTAATTGATTGGTGACATGATCTCTAACACGATTTTGCTTTAAAGGCAAGAAAATCCTTACTTTGTGTGCCTCTCTGTTTCACTACTTTACAAGCAGCATGACTTGAATTAGGCTCGGATCACACTGCCGTGACTTGGGATCCAACTTGTGAGACCCAAGCTGCATGACTTGGGCTCCGACTTGGGAGACCCCAAGCTGCATGACTTGGGAGACCCCAAGCTGCATGACTTGGGCTCCGACTTGGGAGGACCCCAAGCTGCATGACTTGGGAGACCCCAAGCTGCATGACTTGGGCTCCGACTTGGGAGACCCCAAGCTGCATGACTTGGGAGACCCCAAGCTGCATGACTTGGGAGACCCCAAGCTGCATGACTTGGGATCCGACTTGGGAGACCCCAAGTTACATGACTTGGGCTCTGACTTAGGAGACCCCAGTTACATGACATGTGAAATCCCATGATAATCAATGAGAGCTGTCTTAACCACTTGCCTACTGGGCACTTTTACCCCCTTCGTGCCAAGGCCAATTTTCAGCTTTCACTGCTGTCACACTTTGAATGACAATTCCATGGTCATGCAACACTGTATCCATATGAAATTTTTATCTTTTTTTTTTCACTCAAACAGAGCTTTCTTTTGGTGGTATTTGATTATTACTATTTATTCCACACCACTCGGTTTTATTTTTTGCACTATAAACAGAAAAAGAGCAAAGAATTCGAAAAAAAAAAAGTTTTTGTTACTGTTCTAAAATTTTGAAAACAGGTAATTTTTCTCCCTCACTGATGTGCGTTGATGAGGCTGCACTGATAGGCTGCACCGATGAATCAGCACTGATGAGGCTGCACTGATAGGCAGCAATGATGGGCGGCGATGACTGATGACACTGATTGGAGGCACTGCTCATCAGTGCAGATATCCTATGACATTTGCCGGTTATCGGCAGTACTTTCCTCATTCTGTGACAGTGTGAGGAAAGTGCAGCCGATACAAGCAACTGTATTTACTTGACAATCTGCTGTGTCAATGGGCATGGCTGATCACATGGTAAAAGGCCGCTGTGATTGGCCTTTTACCTCATCGTGTGATCAGCTGTAGGACACAGCTGATCACAGTGAGCGCCGGGTGCACGCAACTGGGGGCGCGCAGAAGGGCACGTTCTGGGAGGACGTCATATGACTTCCTCCCAGAACTGGAAAACTGTGCTGTAGCCATCATTCAGCTATAGCACGGTTGGCAAGTGGTAAACCCCTTGCCCCCCTGAGGATTCCCCCCCCCCCCCTTCCTGACCAGGCCATTTTTTTTCAATACGGTGCTGCGTTACTTTGACTGTCAATTGCGTGGTCATGCAACGCTGCACCCAAATTAAATTTTTTCCTTTTTTTCCCCACAAATTGAGCTTTTGGCGGTATTTGATCACCTGTGTATTTTTTATTTTTTGCACAAAAAAGACCAACAGTTTTGAGGAAAAAAACTATATTTTTTACTTTTTGCTATTAAACATGTCCAGTAAAAATTTAAAAAAAAAATAAATCTAAATTTCGTCAAATTTAGGCTAAAATGTATTCTGCTCTGTGTCTTCGCTAAAAAAAAAATCCCAGTATGTGTAAATGATTAATATAGTGTTTACAAAATGGTGGTATAGATACTGGATTTTATTTTTTTTATTATTACTAGTAATGGTGACAATCAGCGATTTATTATAGCGGGACTGCGGCGAACATTCTGACACGGGGGAAATTGACTTGGTGTCACCGACATCAATACAGTGATCAGTGCTAAACACTGACACTGTAATAATGGCACTGGGCAGGAAGGGGTTAACAAGAGGGGCGATCAAAAGGGTTAACGGTGTGCACAGGGAGTGTTTTACTTGGGGGAGTTTCTGTGCCACTGTAATCACACTGCTCTGGATGGCTGTGCACAGCCATCCAGAGCAGTGTGGCCGAGCTGACAGGGAAGAAGACTGTTAGTAAACAAACAGTCCTCCTCCCCGTCGCAGATGCTGGGTAATCACCGGCCAGGAACCAGTGATTGACAGCCGTGGCCGCTAACAGCGGTACCCCCTACTCGGAAGTGTAAAATCCTGTATATATACATGCGTAATTTTGCGCACCCCTGCCGCCCTGTTGCAGTATATCTTCTATAGGCGACAGGAAAGCAGTTAAATTAGCACAGCTGAAGTCGAACATTAGAAACGGTTCCTGTACTACTTCAAGGCGACTTCTACCCGACTTGTGCCCATAGACTTTAATGGAAGTCGCCTCCAAGTTGGATCCTCATCTATATTGATGTGATCTGGATTTGACATTACAGGAAGATTGCCCAGGCATTCCCTGAAAGTTGCTTCAGAGTTGCTTGAAAGTAGTACTCAAGACGCACTGCAAGTGGTGCGACTTTCAGGTAGCAGTAGTGTGAACAGAGACTTAGGCTACTTTCACACGGTGTTTGCTGATCCCCCACTGAGCAGAGCGGAGCTGACGGATGACAGGCTCGTGTTCTCTCCACTTATGCAGAGTGGACATGGACACAGCCCACTCTGCTCTATGAGTGGCCGGATGTAAACGGACCGGCTATCCATTTACACCCAACTGCCCTCCGCTCTGATCTGCACACACAGAGGGAAATGGATTCCCTTCTGTATGTTTTTAGCGGATCGTATCAGAGGTTGGTGGGTGTAAACAGACACAAATCCATTTAAATCCACCGCTCCATAGATGTGAATGGAGGGTCCGATCGGGTCTGCATAAAAAACAGACAGATGGACCCGAACAGGCTAGTCGTGCGAAAAGGGCCCTTAAAGTGATATTAACCCCTTGGTGCCGGTGCCTCGCAGCCCTTTAAGGGTTCCAGGACATGGGGCGGGGTTTTAATGTCACGTGACCGCCGTGATTCACTGTCACGGCAGTCACATGATCGGGAAAGGTCCCGATCGAAAGAGGAGATCGGGACCTTTCCGTGAGTACCGAATGTGTGTGCTGGGAGCGCGTGTTCTCAGCACATGTATTTTTTTTAATAGAACGCAAATGTGCGGCCGCTTGGTGTCTAGGCCCAGACGCTGGGAGGCCGCACATTTGTGTTCGGCCGGTGCCAAGAGGTTAAACACTTTTTTGTTGTGGTTTGAAATAAAAAAAGAGGTTACACTTAGCTGCTCTATGAAACTATTTTTCACACAGCAGTCCCTTACGTCCTCTTCTGGCAATTCCCCACCAATGCTGCCTGCTTCTTCCTTCTTTGTGTGCCTACTTAGCAGGCCGTGTGATAAGGCGGCACCGATGCATGCGCACGCCCGAACTGGGCTGTGTGCTTCCATAGACTCACACTGGACCGATAAGCCAAGTCCCACTCCCTCATCATGGAATTTGACTGACAACAGCAGCAGCCATAGCCATTGGGAGCAGCTGCCCTCAGTGTCTCCAGTGAGACCAGGAAGAGAGAGGAGTGGTGAGAGAAGACAGGTAAGTCATGGGGGTGAGTAGGACAGGTAGTGGGGCAGAGAATGAATTAAGGTACATTTTGAATTTTTTAGTACTACTTTAACCGCCTCCCGCCAGCCATATAGTAATATGACGGACACAAGGCGGTTCCCTCGTTCTGGGAGGATGTCATATGACGTACTCTCATTCTAACCGTGCATGCGCGGCTCCCGGAATGTGCAGCGCGGCGATCGGCGGTGCGCTGTGCCCCACGGACACAGCGGATCACCGATCCATGAAAAGAGCCAAAAGATGTCGGCTCGGTCATGTGGTCAGCTGTGTCCAATCACAGCTGATCACATGTAAACAGGAAAATGCCGGTTATCGGCATTTCTCTCCCCACGAGCTGTCATACTGACAGAGGAGAGGAGAGCCGGTAATCGGCATTCCTCGAAGAGGAGAGATCACTGATGATCAGTGTGCCCTGATGATCTGTGTAGCCCCAGCAGCACCACCTGTCAGTGTCCATCAGTGCCAGCACTCATCCATGCTACCTGCCATGCCCATCAGTGCCACATCAATGCCACATATCAGTGCCCATCTGAGCTGTCTTTCAGTGTCACCCATCAGTGCCACTTATCAGTGCTGCCAATCATTGCCGCCTATCAGTATGCATCAGTGCTGCCTATCAGTGCCATATATGAGAGCCCATCAGTGATGCCTGTCAATGCCCATCAGTGCCACCTACCAGTGCCTCCTCAGTGTCCATCAGTGCAGCCTATCAGTGCCCATCACTGCAGCCTCATTAGCACACATCAGTGAAGGAGAAAAATCACTTATTTACCAAATTTTATAACAAAAACGAAGAAAAAAAATTTTTTTTTTTCAAAATTTTCAGTAGTTTTTGGTTTAAGAAAAAATAAAAAAAACCCAGCGGTGATTAAATACCACCAAAATAAAGCGGTCACATAAAAAAATGATAAAAATTTCATATGGGTACAGTGTTGCATGACCGCGCAATTGTCATTCAAAGTGCAACAGCACTGAAAGCTGGAAATTGGCCTGGGCAGGAAGGGGGTAGAAGTGCCCTGTAGGCAAGTGGTTAAAGCATGGGAAAATAAATAAATAAAAAGTGTCTTTAATGTAGGTATTCAATCGCTACACAGAAGCTATCTGAATAGTTTACTGCTTGTTAATATAAATCGGGACAATACGGGTTTTATTCTTTCCCCAAAGCTGTGGAGTAACCAGCACAAATCACAGACAGGCGCCAACAAACGCTCCAATAATTGATCGTCCACGTCCCTGCAATCACAGTGAAATCTATGGGAGCTCGCACCGTCCCCAAATAATAGGCGTCATTAGAGAAGGAACATTATTGCTTTTCCGTGTTTGCATGCAAATAATTATTACATCTCAATCTATCACAGCTTGAAAACAAGACAACACAAAGGACATCCTGCTAATCTACCAAAATGGCTTTCTTTTGGTAAAGCCCCAAACAGTCCCCACCGTCGTAACTCCGCAATTAATGGCAGTTACTCTTTCAGCAGCTCACCGGGAAAATGATCAGAAAGAAAGCTGTAAAGCCAGCAAGACGCCGTTCTACGTAGAATATCATCTATTTCTTCTCTAACGACAGAAGAAAAACAACTTCAATTAATCTCAAACGGCTAATACTACGTAGCAAACGATGCAATTGTGCCAACGTAGGAAAGGCCACGGAGTTCTCCTTAAAGCGCTACTTGTTTGCCGCCTCCCCACTCCAACTGCCATATTTGGCACCTTTTTGGGGGGTTATCTGGTTTTGACAGGTACCCGTTCCCACTTCTGGCACAGTTTGCAGCCGCGAAGTGAGACGGATGTTCGGCCCCCTCCTTCCTCCCGCAGCCTCCTGGGAACATTCACAGGTCCCCGAAGACTGCTGGACCAAATCAGAATACGAAGCGCGACTCGCGCATGCGCAGTGGGCACCCGGCTGTGAAGCCGCAAGCTGCCACAGCCTGGTGCCCACAGTTGAAATGCCAGCCCCCGAGGAGAGAAGAGGCACAGAAGGAACGGTGTGTGGGTGAGCACATCGCTGGACCCCGGGACAGGTGAGTGTGTGTTTGCTAAAAGTCAGCAGATACAGCTTTTGTAGCTGCTGACCTTTAACCACCTCCCGTCCGGCCCATGTATATAAACGGCCGGGCGGAGGCAGTGCAGGGTCGGGTGGTCGTTTATAAACGTCCTCCCCGCACCCTGCTTGTCCGCGCTACCTGGCAGTGCGCAGCACCGCAATCCGGTGCCCGCTGTGTCCTCCAGACACACCAATCGTCGGACGGGACCTGTGTGAGGTCCCGATCATGTGATCACTGATAGGCCAAATCAGTGATCACATGCAGAGTAGTAAGCAAGATGTCACTTCTGCCATCATTGCTTACTACGTGTGAAATCTGTGAATAATCACAGAGGTCACATGGTACAAGGCTATTCACAACAGCCTTGTACCATGTGACAAGCTGTGACCAATCACAGCTCACACAGTATTTAATTTCAATGGTTGCAAGAATGCAGCTATAGATAAGGAGAAATGATTGCTTTTACAGCCTTTATGGGTGTAAAAGCAATCCGTGTAAAAAAAAAAAAATCTTCATCACCCCCCCACACAAATAGTACAGTGTCACCATAGTGACACTGTACTGCTAGGGTCACAGTATGTAAACAAAAAAAAATGTAAAAAGTTTAAAAAATATTATAATTTTTAGTTATAAACTAATTTGGGTTATTTTTTTTTTACTAAAAATAGAATGGAATGGATAAATTTATTCGCAAAAACACTTTTCAAAATTTTTGGACTTTTTCATTTAAATAGCAAAAAAAAAAAAAAAATCCCAGCGGTGAATAAATACCACCAAAATAAAGCTTTATCTGTCTCATGCTAAAAAAAATTAATATGGGTACAGTGTTGCATGACCGCGCAATTGTCATTCAAAGTGTGATGGCACTGAAAGCTGAAAATTGCCCTGTACAGGAAGGGGGTAAAAATGTCCGGACTGGAAGTGGTTCAGAAGAGCATACACATGGTAGTATGCGGTCATGGGGACACAAGGTAACTGGTAAATTGTGTCAAATACTCAACTGTAATTTTCTTTTCCTGAAGTCAATCCATGGAAGCATTCTTGTGGTAGTATGCTGCCATGTTGGCGCAAGGAAAACAGAAAAGTGTAAAATATGTCATTTTTCTTTCCTGGTGCCAATCCTTGGCAGCATACATGTGATAGTATTCTGGAAAATTGTATCAAATACTTACCATAATTTTCCATTTAACTTGGTCCATGCATTGCAGTATACCTGTAGTAGTATGCTGCCATGTTGGCACCAGAAAAACAGAAAATTGTAACAAATATTTACTGCCATTTTCCTTTCCTGGCACCAATCCATGGCAGCATACAGTCATGGCCAAAAATGTTGGCACCCCTGCATGTCTGTCAGATAATGCACAGCTTCTCCTAGAAAATTGTTGCAATTACAAATGTTTCGGCATTCTCATGTTTATTCCTTTGGTTTGTGTTGGTATGACAAAGCGGAGAAAACAAAAAGCCAAATGTGACACATTCCACGCAAAACCCCAAAAATGGACTGGACAAAATTATTGGCACCTTCTCAAAATTGTAAGAAATAATTGCATTCTAAGTTTGTGATGCTCCTGTAATTTGTAAAAAAAAAAAAAAAAAAACTCACTTGTATCAACTACCAGGTGCTGACAATATAGCAATCACACCGACAACCAGATAAAATGGTGAAAAATGTACTCAACCTTTCTGTGTGCCACATGGAGCATGGAGATGAGAAAGAGCAGCAAACAATTGTCTGAGGATTGGAGAACAAAAATTGTGGAAATGCATGGACAATCTCAAGGTTACAAGTCCATCTCCAGAGATCTTAATGTTCCTGTGTCCACTGAGCGCAACATTGCAAGAAGTTTACAGCCCATGGCACTGTAGCTAATCTCCCTGGACGTGGACCGAAAAGAGAAATATTTACCAAATAATGCAACGAAGGATTGTTCGAATGGTGCATAGAGAACCTCGATCAACTTCCAGACAAATTCAAGCTGACCTTCAGGCACAGGGTACAACAGTGTCAGCTCGCACTATACATTGCCATCTGAATGGAAAGGGATGCTATTGTAGGAGGCCCAGGAGGACCCCACTGCTGACACAGAAACATTAAAAAGCCAGACTGGTTTGCCAAAATTTACCCGAAGAAGCCAAAATCCTTTTTGGAGAATGTGCTGTAGGCAGACAAAACAAAATTACAGCTTTTTGGTAAATCTCATCATTCTACGATTTTCAGAAAAAGAAATGAGGAAAAGAATACAGTCACACGTGGTGGGGGGGTCACTGATGTTTTGGGGTTGCTTTGCTGCTTCAGGCACTGGATATCTTGACACATGTGCATGGTATTATCAAATCTGAAAACTACCAAAGAATTCTAGGGTGCAATGTAGGGCCCAGTGTCAGTTGGGTCTCCGTCAAAGATCATGGGATCTTGGGTCAGCAGGACAATGACCCAAAGCACATCAAAAAGCCCCCAGAAATGGTTTCAGACAAAGTGCTGGAGAGGACTGAACTGGTCAGCAATGAGTCCAGATCTCAATCCCATAGAGCGCCTGTGGAGAGATCTCAAAACAGAAGTTGGGAAAAGGAACCCTTCCAATCTGAGAGACCTGGAGTAGTTGGCAAACGAAGAGTGCTCCAAAAACTCCAGTAGGGAGGTGTAAGAAGCTCCTTAATGGTTACAGGAAGCCATTGATTTCAGTTATTTCCAAGGGGTGTGCTGCCTAATATTATTATTATTATTATTATTATACAGTATTTATATAGCGCCAAAGGGTATGCTCAGCGCTGTACAGTAGCAAGGGGGACAGAACATGAGACAAGACAGTAACAATACAAAACACGAGGGGTTCGAGGGCCCTGCTCTTTCGAGCTTACAATCTAGGAGGGAGGGGAAGGTGGTACAGGAGGAGATGGCTGTGGGGGATGGAGTGGTGGGAGGAGTGGAGGAGGTTAGTTGTTAGGTGAGGTGGGGGTAGGATTCCCTGAAGAGGAGGGTTTTCAGGGTGCGCCTGAAGGTGAGGAGGGTAGGTGACAGTCTGATGGATTGGGGTAGGGAGTTCCAGAGGATGGGGGAAGTCCTAGAGAAGTCCTGCAATCAGGCGTGGGAGGAGGAGACCAGGGAGCTAGAGAGTAGGAGGTCCTGTGAGGAGCGGAGGGCACGGGTAGGGTAGTATTTGGGTATCAGGTCAGTTATGTAGTCTGGGGCGGCATTGTGAATGGCTTTGTAGGTCAGAGTTAGCAGTTTGAATTTGATGCGTTGAGCAATCGGGAGCCAATGAAGGGATTGGCAGAGGGGGGAGGCAGATGTGGAGCGCTTGGTGAGGTGGATGAGTCTGGCCGCTGAGTTCAGGATCGACTGGAGTGGGGATAGCGTTCGTTTGGGCAGGCCGGTGAGAAGGGAGTGGCAATAGTCCAGGCGTGAGATGATGAGGGAGTGTACGAGTTGTTTGGTGGTGTCTGGGGTGAGGAATGTGCGTATCTTGGAGATGTTGCGGAGGTGGAGCCTGCAAGATCTAGATAGCAGTTGGATGTGGGGTAGGAAAGAGAGGTGGGAGTCCAGGGTGACACCCAGGACTTTGGCGTGTGGGGTGGGAGAGATGGTGGCATTGCTAGTAGTGATGGAGAGGATGGGGGGGGGCGCAGGCTGGGGGGCAAGACCAGGAGCTCGGTTTTGGATAGGTTAAGTTTGATATTAAACTGAGGGTGCCAATAATTTTGTCAAGTCCATTTTTGGGGTTTTGGGTGGAATGTGTCAGATTTGGCTTTTTGTTTCTCCACTTTTTTTATGTCATACCAATACAAACAAAAAGAAATAAACATGAGAATGCCTAAACATTTGT